TATATATATATATATATATATATATATATATATATATATATATATATATATATATATATATATATGTAGGGAAGATTTGCATATGGAAAATTGAGAGGATAGAAAGGAGAAAGAAGGAAGTGAAAGTGGCGAAAGATATTGGTGGAGGATTAGATGAGTGGAATGAATGACCATCGGGTCTTCCAGTAAAATTTTCCATTTTTAATTACTGCATATTCACAACAATCGGTCTATTTATTAATCATTTTCCTCATCTAGCAATTCTTCCATTTACCTTGAACAGAAATCTGACTAAACTGGTTCCATTAAAGTATTTTGTCATTTATTGATAGCGCTAATTGTTATATCTCAATTGCGCTATATAAAACAAATTTATTGTTTCCTTTATACTTAATAAAGTATCAAAATTATTACTTTTTTTTCCTCTAATTTTGACGAAATTTTATTTTTATATTTTTGACAAAAACAAAATTTAACTTTTAGAAAAACTCAATTCCTTAATATATTATTGTTGTTATTGTTGTTGTTGTTGTTGTTATTGTTGTTGTTGTTGTTGTTATTGTTATTGTTGTTGTTGTTGTTGTTATTGTTGTTGTTTACCTAACTAGCAAGCAAATAAATATATCCTTTCCCATCGATTAATTTGTTCACTGATTATCTATAATTTAGAAACGATAAGCTGGAATAGCCGAAATAAAAAATGTGATATAATTACCATTTGATGAAAAATCACATATTTAATAACACTGCACTTTAAAATCCAAATAATCTTACTAATCTTGATAATAATGATGTTGATGATAATGATGATAATGATTGTAGTGATAGTGGTGTTAATTATGATATCAATAAATGTCTTACCATTCTTACCCAATTTTTAATTACTATAAGATTACAAAATTAAACATAATTGCTCAATGTTAATATTGATAATGATAACTTGGAAATAAAATTTATCTTAGTAGCATAGAGTCTAACTTTTTTTTTTTACTCTTCCCTTCCCTATTCATTAATTCCATTAATATTATTTTAGAAAAAAAAAATTTTTAATTTTATTCACTTTTAATAGTTATAAATGTTAAAAAAGAATTATATATATATATTTTTAATTTAATTGAAGACAATATTACTAATTAATTAAATCTATGAATATAGTGATACAGTTTATTATTACCATTATTACAACAACAACATTATCCATTGGTCCCTACTGTCTCTCTCTCTCTCTCTCTCTGTCCATCAATCCAACCAACCAACCAACCAACCAACCAACCAATCAACCATCAATTCATTCCTCCTTTAATCATACATCAGAAGCAGTAGAGCGAACGATTCATAATAATGTGATGAGGGACATCATAATAATAGTATGAGTTGAAATCTCTTCGACCCCGTAACAGATTCAATTGTAATTCAACCATACATACCATTACACTTTACTTTTAACTCTTTACTTCTTCTTCTTTTTGATAATTTTCGAAAAACTTTTTTTTTTCATTCATTTTTTTGAAATATTTCTTATCAAAATATTAAAAAGTAAAGATTTAAATAAGAAATTTTTCTTTTCTTTTATTAAAGTAATTCTTTTTTCTTTTAATTCCAAATAAAAGAATGAAATAGAAAATCATTGCACAATATGTTTCTCACTTTTTTTTTTGTTTTAAAAAGTTCAAAAAATAAAATTTAATGATTTTTGATCTTTCACTTTTTTTTCTCCTTTTATTATTTATTTATTTATTCATTTTCTTTTTTTTGTTTTAAACATAGATTATATTTTGTATTTATTTTCAATTTATATATTCATTAATTATCTAATAGTATAATTTGTGAACGAAGAAAAAACAAATCTTTTTTATAAAATTAAATTTATATTTTATTAACTGAACAATTATATGATAATAATAGAATTTGTTTTTGATTAAAATATGGAGGAAGGAAGAAATGATAAGATAATCAGTTGTAATGTAGTTTATTAAATACTTTAATTGATTTATTCGAAATTCGATTTTTAAAATAATCAGTTTTTTTTTTCGAATTGTAATATATAGATAATGCACAATTGAAACATGACTTTCAACAATTAAAAGTTAAAAATTGGTCAATAATTGAAAGGATTTTTCAGTTGCAATTAAACAAGTGAATTTCTTCTAAAACAAATTAATTGAATTTGAATTAATTACTGTATACATTTCTTGTTAATTTTAGCCTATATTTAAAATTTTTGCATTCTAAGATATAATCCTCACTGATTTTTTTTTTAAATCAAAATTTGATTTCATCATCTTTTTATGCAAATATTACAATGACAGGTAGTAGGACTAATTCATATGTCATCTGTCATCAGCAGCTGTTATTATTCATCTGATTAGAAAAGATATTTCCAAATGAATTAGAGTAAAGTGTATTGTCGTGTCATTCCATTCAGTCAAGTTTATTAGTGTCCTTGAACGGAAAGGGTTGACAATTTTCTAAAGAAAAAAAAATTTTAAGAATGTATGTTTGAATTACAATGACACATTGGTACTATCCGTACATATATGTACGTTATTTGTTAACTTATGTACTATATATGCAAATATTATTGTTATTAGAATAATTTCATAAAATAATAAACTTTTAAGATTTTATTAAAACTTTTTATTTCTTCCTTTCCATTTTTTCTTCTCCGACTTTTTTTTTCCTTTTTCTTTCTTTTTCTTAAATAAAATTTTATCCAAATATAACAATTATGATTATGACATATATAACAATTATGTAATTGTTAGAAAAAAGAATAGAAAAAAAAACCAATACCATTAGCTAACCGAATCATTATAGTAATGTATTGAATCATGCAATCCGGAAAA